AACAAGGCAGAGGGGGGGGGGGGTTATTGTTTTCTTCTCATGGGAACAACAAGGGCGGGGGGGGGGGGGTGGGGGGGGGTTGTTTGTTCCCAAATCCATGAACAACAACCCCCCCCCCCATTGTTGTTCAACCCCCCCCCCCCGTTGTTCTTCGAACAACAACCCCCCCCGCGCCGCCCCGACGCAGCAGCAAGGTGCCTCGCAGAACTCGCTGCAGGTCCGACTGCTGCTGCTGCTGCTGCTGCCTGCAGGCTGGCCGCGCGCTTGAAGGTGCCGGATGGCAGGGCCGCCCATCTTGGCACGATGTACAATGATGTACACAAACAATGCGACCTTCCTGAAGCTTTACCCACTTTCGCGAGACCGAGCTGCTATCCTAGCCACCCCCTGCCAGGCCATGCTGCGTTCGCATTCCGGGCCGCGTATGCTCATAGCACACTGCAGCGGCGGCGGCTGCGGTTGCCCCTGCCGGTCGCTCCGCACAGATGTTTGCGGCGCCGCTGTCGACGCCTACGGCGAACCACGCCGCATGCCCTCGTACCGGCTTGCTCGCCGAGCCAAGCGGGTGCGCATCGCGCGCGAAGCTGTTGGACCCAGGTTGGACCTGAGGGCCAGGTAGTCCCCCAGCAGTGGCTGGCGCGCACGTCCGCCCCTCACATAGCCGATCGCCGCCGCCTCGACCTTGTCGTCTACGCGAGGCGTCGTGTTGGGACGTCACACTCGTGTCCCCTCTGACGCGTGACGGACGGGCCCAACCTCTTGCTGCCACGCGCGACGGCGCTGCCATCGTTGTCGCAGAGAGGCGCAAACGTGTGGCTTACCCTGAGCTGCTGCGACCGGGGCCGCAGCGTGTTTGTGTCCTTGCCTGCCGATGCAGTCCCTCCCAGCCCCAGCCGCCTCGGCCTGTAGCGCGCAGGTTGCACAGGGACTTGGACTTGCGTAAAAAAAAAAAACGCGTCGTCGCGCCCGCCGTTCTAGTTCGACATAGTTCGACGATGCGTGCAGCGGCGCAACGAAATCGGCCGCGGGCTGCCTGTCAGCGCTAAGCGGATGCCAAGCGGTGAGGGCAGCAGGTGCGTCGGGTGAAATAATAAACAACGCGTCACCTTCTCGACGCACAGCTGCGGACGCAGCAGCGTCTTCAGGTGCCGGGTATGGCGGCCTGGCTCGGAGGCCCTGTATGAGCCGTGCATTCAATGGTGGCGAAGGCCACAGCACTGACCGGAAGAGTAAGCAATGCCTCCTGCAGCGGTGCTGCGATATAGTGGCCTTCGGGTGCGACGGCTATTGCACGGACGTTTCCGGCCCGTGCTCCGGCCCAGGCCCGAAACCGAAGAACTGAGGGCGAATGCAGAACCGGGAACGCGAAAGCCAGGACAACATGGGAAAGCTCTTGCGCGGGGATGAAACATGTGCCCTCAAGGCATCGACGGCGGCAGGCCACTACTCGTTGATGGGAGCGCGCGAGCGTCAGTCACGCTGCGCCATGCTGCGCCTCGGCTGAAAGCATGCCTGCGGCGTCAAGCAGCAACGGAATGCACAGGGCAGAGTTGGTCCCGTCCTGCAGGGGCAAGGGTGGACCAAGGACTGTGTATTGGGTCGGCGCAAGCGCCGGTGCGGGTGCAGCCCTGTGCGCGAGGTCGGTGCTGGGCGTGGGAGGCCGTGGGAGGTGGGTTGGGGCACGTACCATGCAGCTGCGCGCGTCGCATGAGGACGAAGGCGCGAGGAGGCAGATTGGGCAAGCAACCACAACATCGAACTCGGAGGCCACGTCAAGGCGCAAAGCACATGGGGCAGCGTTGGCGACTGACGAGGGCGTAGAGGGAGACCGGCGGGCGTGCAGTCATGAAGAAGTTCGGGAGGGGAAGGGCTGTCATCTGCACCGTTATACACTTCCGCAAACATGTTTTCCCACCCCCGGATGTGTGCATGTGGTCTTTCGCTCTCAAGCATCGACCCCAACCCGGGAAAGGCTTTGCCAACAAGGAACACATAGCTGCACTGACTATTAGTTTGCATGTCATGTGTGAGGGCAGTTCGATCTGTCGAACACGGCGGCATACACATACAGGCACATAGAGTGAGAGGGAGGGACGCGGCGTAATTGGAAGGAGGAAAAGGGAGGCTCTGTGCAACACCAGGGATTTCTTGCCGCGCTTCATCTCCCTGAGGGGCAGGTGGAGCGCACGTATGGACCGAGCATTCATGTGTGCAGGCCGATTTGTCGACTCGAAATTTGTCGAGCTGATTCCGTTCCCTGTACACGTAGGGTGTTCCAGCATCTCTGTCACTGCATTCGGCTCAGAAGTACATAGCAGGGAGGGAGTCCAAGCAATCTGACCGCATGAATGTGGGCATTCCCAGCAATCGGCGGTCAGGGCAGCCCGGGCAAAATGCTGGCCTTGCGCGCCCGAGATCACCTGAGACAAAGACTGGTGCCAACAGAGCTAGGTCCCCAGCATTGGGCAAGTCTTCTGCCCCAAATCCTAGTGGTCCGGGAACGAGGACATCCATAGCCTCGGGACCTGTAGGGTCAGGATCTTTGGGAAAGAGCGCGCAGCCCACTGTTCGCCGAGTGACATCCTCCACTGTCGAAGAGATTCGTCGCATTGATGCCAACAGGGAACAGAGGCGACGACAGGCAGAAGAGGTGCGACGCAGTCGACAGGAAGAGGCAGCACTTCTGGGCGCCCAATGTGGAGGGCATGTGCCGGATATCGATTTTCATCGAATGATCCAGAACTACCGCCAGCAGTGCCCTCAACCAGTACATTTTGAGCCACTAGATCCAGCTGCCCCTGATGGTGTCCTTGTATGTGTGCGGAAACGGCCCATCATGCAGCATGAGGTGACAAATTCGGAATTGGATTGTGTCACAGCCTGCAATCCTTGTGCTGTGGTCCACGAGACAAAACTGAAAGTGGATGGCATCACGAAGTGCCTCGAGTCCCATCAGTTCGAATTTGACAGAGTCTTCGACGAAGAATGTACGACTGAGGATGTGTACACAACCGTGGCATCTCCCATCGTACCATGGGTTCTGGCAAAGGGTGGTCGTGCCACGCTGTTTGCATATGGACAAACGGGGTCAGGCAAGACTTTCACAATGACTGGCATTCAACGTTTGCTCACTGAGCAGCTTTTTGAGCATGTCCGACGCTGTTCCGCTTTGGATTTGACCGTGTCGATATCCTTCTTCGAAATCTATGGTGGGAGACCGTATGACTTGTTGAACAACAGACAGCGCTTAGAGACTTTAGAGGATGCGAACAATGAGGTCCAGATTGCAGGTCTCGCAGAGCGGGGCACCTCAAACCCACAAGAGATGCAGCAGTGCATCGACTTGGGGAACTCCCTTCGAACCACTCAGGGCACTGCAATCAATCGAGACTCATCGCGCTCCCATGCTATTTGTGTGGTTTTCCTCCGGAAGACGGGAGGAGGAAGCATTCACGGCAAAGTCACCTTGGTTGACCTGGCCGGGTCTGAGCGAGCAGCAGATTCTAAATCCAGCATCCGTCAGAGACGAGTTGAGGGCGCTCAAATCAACAAATCACTATTAGCACTCAAGGAGTGTATCCGTGCCATGGGTGATCGGCGGGAGGCACATGTACCGTTCAGAGCTTCCAAGCTGACGTTGGTGCTACGTGATGCTTTTATATCACGTGGCCCGGCAAAGACCATTATGATCGCTTGCATTTCGCCAGGCATGGCTTCGGCAGACCATAGTGTGAATACTCTCCGTTACAGTGATCGCTTGAAAGAGCACCCACGCGGCAAAACAGTGGAGGACGGCGACTCGGCAGCCGGACGCCGGTTGTCCACAGGAATTCGCACACAAAGTCCAGACCGCAAGCTGTCGCGGCGAAGTCCATCGCCGACGAAGCTCGAGCGTGGAGCTATTGCCGGCGCTCGGCAAAGACCGAACAGCGGAACAGTTCCCGATCTGTCCAAGGATGAAGTATTCGATTTGCATTCTGAAGAGGAGCTCTTAGATGAAGACGAAGAGTACGAGGACAAGCCTCCAGCTCCAAGCCAAGGAGGTCCTGCAGTCCCCGGCAGTACCTCGGCACTTGCACCTGCATCGCAGGCTTTCCCATCGCAGGCTTGGGCAGAGTCCCGGCATTGGGAAGACCGCATTGTGACACAGCACATGCATGCATTGCAAGAGGATGCTCGGCTCCTAACAAAGGAGAGCGAGCTGTTATCACAAGTTCAACAAGGTGCTGCTTATGACCTTGAATGGTATGCCCTTGAGGTAGACAAAATTGTCAGAAGAAAGGTTGAGGTTTACATGAATCTGATGGAAGACCTGGCAGTTTTCAAGGCGCAGCTAAAGCGCGACGAGGCGCACCAGGCAGCACCCAGACGGCTTAGCAGAGTTGATGCCCGGGCAGAAGGTCCACAGCCAGCGCCATCTACCTTGAATGTTCCTCAGACATCACCACGCTTGCAAGCCGCCATGGATGGCAACCCATGTCCACAGCGCACGCCACGAACACCTCGGCTTCATGCAGGTGAGCTACCTACTGATGTACGGTGAAGGGTCAGGAGTCAAAAGAGGGCAGTGCTCCGTGCTAACAGTTGCCAACTCTTTGCTTGTTGCACGCTGCAGCTGCATGGTTCGGCAGCCGCTGGTACGCGGGACGCAATGCCAGGGTTTGCCTCGGACGCTGGCACTTGCATGTGGCGGCTCAACAGAAGTAGAAGTCGTCATGCCAGGCTTTAAGTGACAATGATGACAATGTGGCAGTCAGCCAACATCCTACTGCATCCTACCGCTGGACTCAGTCAGGATGCGAGCCTAGCTGTACCATTTGATTGAGTTTTCGAGCTGAGCACGAAGTATAGCAACTACTCGGTATCTCCTGCAATGACGAAAACGCACGAAATACCCCGCAGGCTCGCAAGCATGCAGCATGCCGTAGCTTTCCATGTGACTTCTGACCTTGCTGCAATTTGTGATGCAGTCTGCTGGCGCTGCTTGAGGCAGTGATGAGATGGCCACTGTCCACACGTCGGCGCACAGGCTCCTTTGATGCGATCTTTTGGATAAAAGGAACGCAATCTGTTGCAGTAGGCCAGTGGCGTCGAAACTGCTGTCCATCTCGGAAGCACGAACGGGCGACGGGCTCAAGCGTGGCTCAAGATTTTGGAGTATTCGGATGATTTCCAACTTTGCTTTCTGTTTGTGCAGGACGAGTGCAAGCCGCAGATGATGAGCAATTAGTTTGGGTCTCAAGACGTGTAAATCAGAACGGAAACCAATGTTAATGAGAAACCTCAGCTCGCTTGTCTTGACCAGGTATGGGTATATTGCCAACGCGAGCAGGAGAAGTATGACGTGTATTCTTGCTGCTAGGAGCCAAGGCGAAAACTCCTCTTAAGCGGCTGGCTGTTGTGATCCTGATGGGTTTTCTAGGATGACGAAGAAGAAAGACGAGTTGCTAGTGTCATCATTGTAGGTGCGGTGTATCTCAGCTGTTACGAGTGCCAACCGATCATGTCACGAGAAGTTCTTGAAAAGTGCTGGTTGCAACGTTTATCGGCGAACACGCGTGTTAAACCCGTCCTGTGTACTTCTAGCCGAAGTGGCTGACTAAATGCGGAACCCTCTCTCTCTCCAGAGGCGGATGTTTTGCATGTTGTTGTATTTTGAGGGAAACAAACAGATGTCAATGTATGTCCTCTCTATCTCTCTCTCTCTCTCTCGCATGCCCGATCGTTCCGGGAATGTAACATGCGTCGCAAAAGTTGCTTCTTTCGCATCCAGACAGGAATGGGGCCCCAGCGGCCGGGGGATCTGACTCATCACCGATGCTCTGAAGAAGAGCGACAGAGAGAAAGAGAGAGCGAGAGAGATGTGGTTTAGGGTTTAGGGTGCTGGCTCTGCTGTTGAGGAGTGTTTGCTGGCACACAATCCAAGCCCATGCTGAAAAGGGTGCTGGGGAGGCCCTCTGGATGACCTAAGTGGTTGGTGAGGGCTCAGAAGGGGTGTTCTAGGGGGTTTCGGAGATGGCATCACTGGGGCCGTTCAGAAGGGGGTCGGCCTCCCCAAACCCCTCGCAAGCAAGCCAGAGAGAGAGTGATAGAGTGGAGGGCGCACCCCTCCACCATAGCCCTGGCGAAAGAAAGGGAGAGCGGGGGGAGAGGGGTAGACCAGCTCTTCGAGGCCGGCAGCGAGAAATGACAGAGACGGAAAGAAGTGAGAGAGTATGTCGGAGAGAAACACGCAAGAAGGAGTGCCACAAAGAGCTTGACGGACAGCATTAGACAGCTACGTTGTAAGGGAGGTTCACTCACCATCCGTGTGTTGGAAATTGACAGCTGCGAGGGGGTGAGAGAGGTGACTTGCTTGCATGCTCAGCTGCAAGCACCTAATTAAGGCCAAGCATCGCAGCGGCCTCGCCGCCAGCCAAGAGAACAACCAAAAGGATGCCACTGGCATCAGCCGGCCTCCCCAGTCGACGCAAGATCGATGTTGCAGTCGGCAGTAGCACAATCTGTTTGGCGTAGCGCCGAGGCGCCAGCCGCCAGCCTAAGCAGCCGAGGCTTCTGCACTCGAACATGCACGCGCTGCCTGCTCCGTACACTGCAGCAGTATCCCTGGGCTTGGTTGCGCTTACGAGTCATGAAAGCGGTCTGGCATGTAAAAAACCTGCTCGACACACGTTCTGTGTGGTTTTGCCATCTGTAGCGTGGTTCTGCTGTTGGATTGTTTGATCATGTTTGATCCGATGTAGCGATGTTGTGCGTTTCTGAGGTGTTCTATTCTTTTCTTGGGCCTCTTCCTCTTCCTGGTTTTTGTTGGCTCATTTGGCGCCTGTTTGGCTCCTTTTCTGCCTGTTTTTGGATGGTGGACTGCGGAGGCTGCGCTTTTCTCGACATACCTTCGGGCGGTTTCGGGTGGCTCAGCTTTTCGACTTCAAGTTCAGGATCTGGATAACGGAGTAGAGCAGTCTGGCCTTATGTCGGCCTTTCTCTTGATTCCTGGTGTGGTTCTTGCATGTATAAAACTCACAAAAATGTGCCGGAAATTTCATCGACCCTGAAAAAACTTGGAAAAACAATTCAAAGCAACGTACAAAACACAAAAAAACACTTACCAAAACCGCGCAAAGAAAACCTTTCAAACAAGGCAACGAAATCCTACGCAAGACCGCAATCCCTCTTTCGGTGGTTACGGGGTAGCGTTGCTCTGTGGGGGCGCTGATAGGCAGTGGCCCCGAAACAGGGAATTAGGGGTGCCAATCGGGGGCGATGATAGGCAGTGGCGTTTTCCGTCCCGGCTGCGTTCGCAGACACCTTTTTGCTTTTAGGTGTTTTCTACTTTCACGTTTTCGGTGCCTTTGCATCTTCCATCTCACTTTAGCCCGTTTCCATGTCTTTAAAGATGTTTTCAACGTTATACGCGCCCGATAAAGCAGCACCCCGCCGCCTCCCCCCGGCCGTGACCTCCGTACCTTCCTGAACTCCCAGCCCACCTGCACCCCGGCCCCAACCCTGCTAGCCCATATTCGGGTTTCGCATTGGCAGCTCGAGCCTCATTGTGACTCATTGTGTTCACCTGCACTGACTTCCTTAATGGGCGGGGGGCTGGACACAGCGCCCTTTTGGTGGGTTTCCGTCTGCGTTTTTTGTGTGCCGCTACCTGTCTTTTTGCATGTTGCTGCTTTACTGTTGTTCGACGCTTTACCAATATCATTCAATATCCAAAAATCCACAAAAGCGAGGATGCGGATGACATTATTAGTCTAGCCCATGCTTCTGACCAAGTACTCATCGGGATCCAGGCTAGATGCAATGAATCACGAGACTCTTCCAAGAGAGAACAAGTCGTCAAGACAATGTCGGATCTGATGCTGCTGTGATCTGCTGCACTGACGGTTTTTGTCTGGAAGCAGGTTCGTACATGCTTCACTTTCACTCTCGATTGCCAGGACCGCGAGACTTTCTATCAAGATGCCGGTGCACTGCTGGATGCTTCAGAAGCGGCGCAGCGTGGCGAAAGTTGTCTGTTGTTGATTTTCTTGTGGCCAGCTAAATCGCTGCGCCCATGACAAGTCGCAGCATAGTTTGGACATGTCGAGTGCACCAGGTGTCTGCTGCTACCTCTAAGGCTCAGTTTTTTGCAGTACCAGCGTGATCAACTGAATACCTTGGTTTGATGGGGTACTATAAGTGTGTTTTCATCTCAGTACAGCATAGCTTGTGGTAGATCGTTGTAGGATGGCCACAGGTTCGGGTGTATCAACTCGTGTTCAAGAGCATGACCAAGACGGTCTAACGTGGCAATGATGTTTCTGTTGCTGTGTAAGTAGGTGTTGTTGCTGTCGCAGTCGTGTCTTTCGGAGTAGCTCAAGGAGGGGCCAGGCGGCAAGGCAGTTTTCCGTCCAGCACGGCTTTGTTGCTTTACAAGTCTTTCCCCATGTTCGAGAATCTCTAGAAGGAGAAATTTTGAGGTTCGGGCTCGCACTGAAATCTGCAGGAGAACTGTAATTGCACAAGTGGCTGAGTGGTACAACAATCAGTGTCAGATAGTGTTAGTGAAGCGTAGGAATCAGACCACGGCTGCTACTCTGCTACTGCTTCTACTTCTGCTGCTGCTGCTGCTACTGCTAAGGCTGCTGCTAATGCTACTACTACCACCACCGCCACCACCACCACCACCACCAGGACGACTACTGCCACGGCCACTGCGACTGCTACTGTTACTGCTGCTGCTCCTTGTACTGCGACTACTACTACTACGACGACTACTACTACGACGACGACTACTACTACTGCTAGGCTCCATCACCCTCGTTTGCCGCACTTGTGGGGTGGGGTGGGGTGGGGCTAACAACGGCATGTAAGCATCGGTCAGTGGCATATAAGCTTCCATTTTTTGACAGAACTTGGCAAAGCCAGCTTAGCAACAAAAACTCAAGAAGCAGCACACCCCCTCGCTGCCCTCGCCCATGCCGCGTCTCGGGAGTGCATCTTCAGATGCAGGTCACATCTACACAGCCAACCAGCACGAGAACTAACGAAGTGGAAATCATGTGTACGGTGCACTCCAACAGAAAGGAGATCGAGCATGGACGATGGGCATGGCTGTCGAGCCAGCTCGCTAAGCCTAGTCTTAGGAGAGCTCGCACAGAGTAGTAACCCGCATCTAACACGCCAGGCAGCGCTGTCATGACAACCCAAGGCCCAAGCATGATCTGGGTGTGTTACCCGCAAGTGATGCATAAACTCGCGTTCGGTGGCAGGTTTCGGCCCGAAAACGCGCGGTGTCTAAGATGGTGCGGACTCGCGGTATGAGGTGTTTTTGAACAGAGAGCAATCTGTCGTCGGTCCACCGGTTTATATCGCCCCAAGTACTATATGTGGCCTGTCTCCTGAGCTAGTTAGCTCTTTCTTCGGCAGCAGAATCAGCATGGCAATTGGCCGCATGGGCCCAATCCATGTCACTCCCGAATTGTTGGCGAAACGCATCGAGACTAAGACGGGAATTCACCCAAACAGGACTAACCCTTCTATCGGAGCGCGCCGCAACTTCTAACTAGAGATCAGCGTACAAAGTGCGGGTCTTCAGCCGCTTGAACCCAATAATTTTACGAAAACCCTTAACAGTAACCAAGGGAGTCTAAGCTGACATGCACGTCACCACGGGTACTATCAAGCAGGGCAACGAGGGCTTGAAGCTCAGCCCGGGGGACAGTTTGTTTGTTTTGTGTCCTTTCAGGAAACCCCCTCGAGTACCCAAGCATTCCCACGTCCCGTCATGGCTCAACCTGACAATGGAAATTCCGCAACTGCAAAGTCTACATCGCTTATCCCGCGTGTTTGGGCCACACTGCCGTCAGTGCCATAACGAAAGCCGTCTTCATTAAGGCAGTCGGCGAGAACCCATAGTAGCATGTTGTTGGGTTTCTAAGTTACTACGCGTGATGGCGCGGAGGTCGGTCCAGGAGTTTGGGGTTAGAGTCCTACGCCAAAAGCAGTACTGTTCAGTTCTGTCGATGCTCGGCTTTAAATGTTTTCGGGTGACCGTCAAATCACCGCCATCTTCAAGTCCTAAGCCTCCTGGGTGTCGGCTCGCCTGTGTCCAAAAGGCGTTTCCCTGCGCTTCGACAAGATGAAAACAAAGCTGAGACTGAACCAAGGGAGAGCGAACATCAAGAGTGTGCGGTTGCCCGGGGAGGTCGTACCAAACATCAAGGTCCGGAGCATGCCACTGGAGGTCAAAGAGCCTACAGATCAGGGAGGTCATGGGGCCTCTAGCATAGTGCCAAGAGTGCTGTTTGCTACTCAGTTTCTGGTAAGCCAAACGCCATGATCGCCGTAAATGGTCTATGAGTCTATCCATCTTGGTTGGATGTAACAGACAACATCAAAGAAACCACTGACCTGTTGAAGAAGGGTTTTGTGAGCAGGATCCACCGCCTTGTCAGCAAAAAGCCTCCAACCAGTGGTCAAACATCCCAGTCTGTGAGAAATCCCCCACTGCTCGCAACTCGCTGGCGATCCCTCTGCAGTGAGGTCGCCGCAATTGAACACCCCATAACCCACTAGCAAGAACATTAGTGAGGTTCCGACGAAGCTTTCGGGGAGTTTGATTAATACGGGCAGCGCGTTTGAGGCTTTTGGTGAGGCGCATCTTACTAGTGGGTAAACGACGCATATACATACATACATACATATATACATATATATATATATATATATATATATATAGAGGCTTCCATGTTGATTGGCGCGTTGTAACAAGCGTTCATGCCTTGCGCGAGCATGCCCGAACCACTGGTGTTTACATGGTTTCGCCATTTGATACGGCATACTGCAGAAGGATGTTTGGCTTTCTGGCCTAAGACGCACTGGCATAAGAGCTGATGCTTGGTGCGAGCATCCCCAACTGGTATTTACAGCATCTGTGCTTTTTTGCACAACATAGTGCACAATGATCTAATGATGGCGAGTATGATGAAGAACCCATATTCTAAGACCACCTGAGTTCGTAAGTCCTGCGCCTGCCACGTAAACAGCAATTGAAACAGCCAAAATCAGGTTGATGTGGAAGATTCACTTGCGCCGAACATGGCGTTCCAAAACACGTCCTGGCTGCTGCCGTCGCAAAAAGCCGCATTTCCAGAGAAGGGAACAGCAGAAACTCGAGGTTTTTACCGGTTTCATAACATAAAGCATAAACAAAACGGACGCCCAAATCGTCCTGTGTTCACCTGCAAGTGAGACATTCACACTTGCTAACACTTTCCTACAAAGCTCCCGAATGTCTTCAAAACCCAAGCGAAAACACAATTCTACCATGAATGCACTCTGCATGTTGCAATGAAGCACATCACTGAGGACCTGTTTGCCGCGCCGTCTGCCGGCAAACGAGGTATATGGTCCCTACTTCTCCTACTACTACTACTACTGCTAATGTCACAGCTAGTCCTGAGTGGCCTTACCTTCTGTTTGCTGTCTTTTCCGAAGTTGACCCCGTCGTGACTTGCAATCCTCTAGTCCCCGCGGAGCTGCCAGAGGTGTGCCAGGTGGGTGACAAAATGTCACATTTCTCCCTGCTTCGCGCACCAGGCCATGCAGGAAGCAAAAAAACTACTACTACTACCACTACTACTACCACTACCACTACCACTATTACTACTACTACTACTACTACTATTACTAAGGGTAGAGCCTGCACCTTTGGATGATGGACTTTCGCTGGCTTCTTCTTGTGGCATTGGTTGCTGCGAGCACTGGCTCTCTCTTTTCGGATACACATCAGCCGCGCAGGTCCCAATTCCTGCGGCAAGGTTCCTCATTACTGAACGCATCCATGGAGGGACAGAACCTTGCAGACCTGAGGGTTCAAGCGGGTACCGGAACCGCTTGGGGAGCTTCTGTTACGGCAGGGGCGAAAACTTCCGGAAGACCAACATGTTTCACCTACAGCCGGTCCAGAAAGCGATCTTATAAGCGTGCCTGCAGGCGTGCTGCTGCTAGCGAAAGTGGCGGCACCTGGTATCGAGGTACCTGGCGCACAGCGGAATCACTGGGAACTCTGGTCGCAGGCCACGACACCGGTGGCGCGCGAAGGGAGCGCGCCCCGGCCATGGGCGCCAAGGGAGGCGGCCCAAGGATGCGACTACTGTCCTACAATGTGGGCGGACTCACTGCTGAACTGTACGATGTGCTGGTCACTTGGCTACACCAACAACGTTCGGTGGACGTCGTCGTTCTGCAGGAGGTGCACTGGGGATTGGGTAAGCAAGATGGTCAGTGGACAGTTGGGTCATGGCACTTCATTACCTGTGTGGATCCGGGGATGCGTTATTCTGGGGTTTGTGTCTGTGTTTCGGACCGTGTGGCCACTCGAGATGACATTGTGTACGGGACCTGGATCCCGGGCAGACTGCTTCACGTGCGCCTCACCGCTGGCGCAGTTCCTGTAGACATTATAGCCGTGTATCAGCGCGTCCTTCAGGATCGGCAACATGAACAAGTCCAGCGGGATCGCTCCAAGGTCTGGACTCAACTCACCAGGCTCCTACATACGCTTCCGCGTCGCAACATGCTTGCTGTGCTTGGGGATTTCAATACTTCGTGTCAGCGCTTAGGGGGCCACATCGGATCGGGCACTATCTCACAGGACCGCACACATGACGTGGAGTTTGAAACTATAGTGCAGGCATTCGATTTGTGCGTTCTTAATTCCTGGGGTCGAGCCCGACCCAGCCAATGTTGTACGTACATCAACGGTACCGCCCGCACACAGATAGACTTTGTTCTCACCCGGCGTCAGTCTGCTGATCCCCAGGCGCGCCTGGCAAAGCCGATCAATCTTGATCTATCGCCGTGGCGGATGGGACCCCGGCACAGGCCGGTCCGTGCCAGTCTTGCGGTTAAGGGGCCTTGGCAGACTCCTGGACGCCGTAAGGGCCAGATAGGGCGTGGGTTTTCGGTTGTTGCGCTTAGGGCTTCAGCTAGTGCTCGGGATGACTGTTG